TAGAAGACCAAATAGCAAAGATGAAAAAGACTATCAGACTTTTTTTTGTAATGAAATCCTATCACAATTGCCAGAAAACCATTACATTAAAGTTCTTGACACTCATAATCGTTTTTACTTGGATGGGCTGGCACCAGATATCTCAGCTTTGCACAGTGACTATGGATTAGATATTCATGTAATCAATTCAGTTGGTGATATTAAACCAAGGAAAACACCAACATTTGCATTCCAAGATGCACATAAAGGACAAGTCTTGAACTATGGTATTGTCACTGATTAAATTGGGGAGAGCATATTTTAATTGGTGATAACAATTATTTTTGTTTTTGCGTGGATCAGAATGAATAGGGATCAATGAATTGATTTTGGTATTAGTGAATAATTTTGTTTAAAGAAGATAAAAGTTTTAAATAAAATATTTCTATTTTATTTATTTAGTTTTATTTAGTTGAAACTAATTAACAAAGTTTTCCTTAGTCGAAACTAATTAACTTATCACAAAGTTATTAAGCAAAGTTTTCCTTAGTCGAAACTAATTAACTTGTTAACTTGTAACCAAAGTTATTTAACAAAGTTTTCCTTAGTCGAAACTAATTTATTAACTTATTACCAAGTTAATCTTTATTATCAAACTTTAAGACAAAGTTATTTTACAAGCAAGTCGAATTTGAGCTTCTTTTATACAATTAAATTAATTAGTAACAGCTTCATTGCAATCTAACATTCTAGCCGCGATATCGCACTTTAATTGTGACATAACATTCTAGCCGCGACGCGAATTTCTAAATAAAGCTAACTAATTTCGATGTTATACGAATGAAAATAAAAATGTAATACAAATAAAATAATAAAAATGTAAGTAAATATTAATAAAAATAAAATAAGAAATAAAATATAAGGAATAAAATAAATGTAGATATAAAAATAAAGTAAATAAAATAAAAATAGAAATAAAAGATTTGGTTCGGAATTAGGGTATTTCGACTAACAAATTAGCATTAAATCCTAATTCTGGTAACAGTATCAAAATATTACAGCATCAAAAGGAACAATATGAAGTGACAAATTTTCTGACAGACTTTTATGAGATTGTATTTATTCGTGTTGTCAAAGAAGGGCAGGAAAATGAATTGCAATTCCCAGTCCATTTTTCTAGTCCTTTCCAATTTGATGGTGAAGGAAGTAAATATCTACAAGCTTTATTATTTGAGATGTCATACCATCCTGAAATTGGTGAGTTGTATTGCTTTTGTCTCAGTATTTTATATAATGTTTTCTGATGTTTTATTTCATTTAATATAGGGTTGAATGTTTGCACAAGTTCATTAATAGCACAGACAAAAACTTCTAAGATTTTTGTAGTGAAAAAAAGAAATGATGTGGTTCTTAAAATTGTACACCAAAAGATTTTACTGGAAAGGGAAAAAAAAGCATTTGAAAAATTAAAAGGAATTACTGGGATTATTCAACTTTTGGGGCAGTCAAACTGTGCATTATTGTTATCTCCAAGGGCTACCAGTATGTAAATTAGCAGCAGTTGTTGATTGCTTGGAACAATGTCATCAACAGGGAGTTGTGTGCCGTGATGTGCGAACTTCTAATATTTTAGTTAATAGCAGTAATGATATTATTTTAGCAGATTTTGGCTCAAGTGCTTTTACAGGAGAGGTAAGCATTTTAAAGTTAGCTTTTAAATAGATGGAGTTCATTGATACATTAAAAAAAGATTTTTCTCTTTCCAGATAGATTTTTATGGGGGTGCACCATTGGTTTTAGTTTCTGAACGTGTGCTAAACAGTTATGGAAAAACCATAGATGCTCATCCAAAGGATGACCTTCATATATTAATTTGGTCTCTTTATTTACTTGTAAATCAGTCAAATTTAAATGAAACTTTTTTAAACATTGATGACACAAATTCAGTTCGTGAATATTGGGAAAATATATTTAAAAGTGAGCCATGGAAGACCATGCATGGATATTGCAATGAATTAGCATATTATGAACTTAAATGTATCATTGAAAATTTATAACAAATTCAATAAAAAATTACTATTGGTTAAATTAAAAAAAAATTTCATATTATTTGTAAAAAATGCTTGGAAGA